AAGCCGATGCTCTATCCATTGAGCCAAACCGGTTTCGGCAACAGGTATCTTTTTAATATATATATATTTTATTGATTTTTTTACAGAAAGGAAGGAAGAGGGATAGAGAGTTAGAAACATCGATGAGAGAGAAACATTGATCAGCTGCCTCCTGCACACCTCCCACTGGGAATGTGCCCACAACCAAGGTACATGCACTTGACTGGAATCGAACCTGGGACCCCTGAGTCTGCGGGCCAAGGCTCTATCTACTGAGCTAAACTGTTTAGGGCAAAAGGTATTTTTAAAAAAGACATAGGATGGCCCTAGCTGGTTTGACTCAGTGGATAGAGCTTTGGCCTGCAGAGTGAAGGGTCCCAGGTTGATTCCAGTCAAGGGCACATGCCCGGGTTGCAGGCTTGATCCCAAATGGGAGGCGTACAGGATGTAGCCAATCAATGATTCTCTCTCATCATTGATGTTTCTATCTCTCTCTCCCTCTCTTTCCTCTCTGAAATCAATTAAAAAAAAAAAAGAATGGATAAGAAAACAAGACCCTTACATATGCTGTCTATAAGAAATCCACTTCAGATCTAAAGACACACAGAGACTGAAAGTAAAGGGATGGAAAATACATTTTATGCAAATGTAAACATAAAAAAAGATGGGGGTAGTAATACTTTTATATCAGACAAAATAGGCTTTAAAACAGATTAATAAGAACAACATTTAAATATACAATAATCAAGATATGGAAGCAACCTAAATCTCTATCAATATATGAAAGAATAAAGAAGCAGTGGTATCCTATCTAATAAAAGGGTAATATGCAAATTAACCATCACTCCATCACAAAGATGGTGGCGCTCAGTCTTCTCAGCCCTGCCGGAGTCCCCCAGTCCTGGGGGGGGCCGGCCGCTGAGAGCGGGCAGTGTGAGTGGCCTGGTGGAATGCTTGTTTTGTCGCCCCGGCAATAAGGCAGGCGTTCTGCGGAGGGGCCTTTGGGCTGTGGAGAGCCTCTGGGTAGTGGGCACGGAGTAACCAGACCCCGCAGAGAGGTACTGGCGCATGGATTTGTGCGCAGGGCTACTAGTATATGTATACAATGGAATATTACAAGGCCATAAGGAAGAATGCAATCTTACCATTTGTGACAACATGATTGGATCTAGAAGGTAGTATGCTTAGTAAAATAGGTCAGACAGAGAAAGACATATACTATGTGATTTCACTTACACGTGGAATCTAAAAAACAAAACAGAAACAAACTCATAGACACAAAGACCATTTTGACAGTTGTCAAATAGGAGGGGGTTTGAGGGACCAAGTGAAAAAGGCGAAGAGATTAAATACAAGTTGGCAGTAACAAAACAGTCCCGGGGGTGTAAAGTACAGCGTAAGGAACAGTCAGTGATCTATACTAATAAAAGGGTAACATGCTGATTAGATTAGATGGTTCCGGACGACCTTCTGGAAGTCCTTCCTGACAAAGCTGGGCCCAGATTAAGCCGCCCAGAGCAAAGCTGTCCCCGGTCTCAGGTGCCTGCCGCCGGCCTGGGCGAAGTCAGCCCCCGTCCCACATGCCTGTGGCCAGCCAGAGGGAGGGAAGCCTGGGTCCTGGGTGCCTGCAGCCAGCCGGAGGATGGAAGCCTGGCTCCCGGGTGAGGGGCTGAGGCAGAGGTGGGGTTAGGGGCGATCAGGCTGACAGGGGAGCAGTTAGGGGTGATCAAGCTGGCAGGGGAGCAGTTAGGGGTGATCAGGCTGGCAGGGGAGCAATTAGGGGTGATCAAGCTGGCAGGGGAGCAGTTAGGGGTGATCAGGCATGCAGGCAGAGGTGGTTAGGGGCAATTAGGCAGGTGGGCAGAGGTGGTTAGGAGTGATCAGACAGGCAGAGGTGGTTAGGGGCGATCAGGCAGGCAGGCAGAGAGGTTAGGAGCCAGTGGTCCCAGATTGAAAAAGGGATGTCTGACAGTCGGACATCCCCTGAGGGGTCCCGGATTGGAGAGGATGCAGGCCGGGTTGAGGGACCCCTTCCTCTCCACCCCCCTGCCCTGCCTTGTGCATGAATTTCGTGCCCTGGGCCTGTATTATTGTAATAATTCTGTATGGTGCGCACTAGACTTACCTGGGGTATCACTTTTTTAAGTGTATGATTGTCTAACCACACCTGAAACTAATGTAATATTGTATGTCACCTGATACTGAAAAATAAAACCTTAACATGTTAAAGCATATTTTGAGGAAAATTATTAAAAGAACTGAGCAACAAATTGAGGTACATCTTAGATCAAGTGCCAAATGCAGTTAGACTGAAACATTGCAGAACAAGTGATTTAATGGCTGCTGTTTCTCATTACTTAAATTACAGGATGGTGCACAAGTCTAGGAGACGTGAGAGGAACGAGGGCTGGCCTGAGTCCCTAAGTGAAAATGAGCATGTTGTGCCCACTTTGGGGGAATATTCAACTAAGATTTATTTACAGAAGTCAGAAATACTCTTACTAGTCTTATTAGACATGATTAAAGTCATTTGATATAGTTAGTGCAAAAAATGAAATAAAAGAATGGTGAAGATGGTGTATACTGATCAAAAACTAATTGCTCAGGAAATTAGCATCCTATTAATAAAGAGCTGATATGCTAATTAGACCAAATGGTGGAACGACCTTCTGGAATGACCAGTGGGTGGGGGGCCAGGCCGTGAGGCAGTCAGGGCTGTGAGGGCTGAGCCCCTTGCACGAATTTCGTGCATCGAGCCTCTAGATATTAGATATATGGGACAGGAAATGATGGTTGATATTGAAGTAAGCATGTGTGATGGGATTGGCTTACCAAATCTGAAAAAAAAAAAATCACATTAAACCTATGTTGTGCCGAAACCGGTTTGGTTCAGTGGTAGAGCGTCGGCCTGCGGACTGAAAGGTCCCGGGTTCGATTCCGGTCAAGGGCATGTACCTTGGTTGCGGGCGCATCCCTGGTGGGGGGTGTGCAAGAGGCAGCTGGTCGATGTTTCTCTCTCATCGACATTTCTAGCTCTCTATCTCTCTCCCTTCCTCTCTGTAAAAAATATCAATAAAATATATTAAAAACAAAACAAAACAGAAAAACCTATGTTGTAGGTTTGATCTCTTGTCCTAGAAAGTTTATATATAACCCGTGTGTGGGCTAGCCAGTGGTGTATTCTTAGAATGCTAGTAAATATTGAGAAGAAAAATAATGCTTATCTGTAAGTAATGGGGGGCTTCAGGTTTGCTCTGCTCTGGCATCGGCCCCAGCCCTCGCTGCCCCTTCCAGGCCCCAGCCCTCGCTGCCCCCTGCTGAGTTCAGAGCCTTTTTCCCCTAACGCAGCCATGGAAGACAGCTTTTCCCAAACCAGAGCTTTGGGCTGTCCCACAGCTGTGTGCCTGGAAGTTTTCTTATTCCTGGGGCAGTGCAGGATGGGTGAGGAGTTTGTTTTCTTTTGCTTTTCTGAAGGGAAATGCCTCAGGAGACGGGCTCTCCGAGATCTGTGGAAGTTGACGTCTGGAGACTAATTCCCTTAAAACCAGTGGTTTTATGTGTGCGGTCCCAGCAGCATCAGCCTCTCCTGGGGACTTGTAAAAACGCAAATTCTTGAGCTGCCAATTCTAGGGCTTGGGCATCTAGGAGACGGATGCCTGCCCGGATTTGAGAACCATGCAGACCTGTATGGTTGGAGTGGGTTTGCTCTTGACATCATGTCCAGAGGATATGATGGCTGGCGTTTGTGTACACATCAGGCATTTCATTCTTGTGTATTTTGGAACCAGTATAGTCTGTTTGCAGTTTTATGGAAGAGCACAGAATCTGTCCTGCATGATGCAGGAAGGTCCCTGTTGCCAAGGGAGGAACAACAGCCAGAACCCTCACTCCAAACAATCAGGCGGTGTCTCTGGGTCCCTGGACAGCTCGCCTGGTGGGCGGTGACCCGGGGTCCTCTGCAGGCAGGTGGCCCGGAGCTCAGCTCTGTGGGGTCTGAGCCAGGCCAGGCCGGGAGGCCGGGAAAGAGGGGCCTGGGCAATAATCAGAGCAGGAAGAGTGCATCTGGGAATTGCACATCTGAGGACCATCGTTGTGTTTTTTTTTTTTAATCTTCACCTGAGAATTGATTTTTATTGATTTTCATAAAGAGAAAGAAAAGGGACATCGATGTGAGAGAGGAATATCAGCTGTTTCCCGTATGTGCCCGAACTGGGGGTTGAGCCCACAGCCTAGGTTTAGGGGATGGTACTCCAACCTACTGAGCCACCTGGCCGGGGCGGAGCCTTTTTATTTTATTTTAAGAGAGACCTCTATGTTCTCCGTCTCCACAAGATTTGTGAATCGTCATTTGTATCAGGCCTTCCCCCTCCCTCTCTCTCCCCCTTCCTTCCATCTTCTTTCCTTCTATCTTTCTTTCTTCCTTCCTTCCATCTTCCTTCCTTCCTTCTTTCCTTCCTTCCTTCCTTCCTTCCTTCCTTCCTTCCTTCCTTCCTTCCTTCCTTCCTTCCTTCCTTCCTTTCCTCCTTTTTTTCTATTTTGCTTCCACTTCTGATCCTTTTGAAGTACAGCTATTTGTTGTGTTTTTTTTTTTAATGCAAATCCTATCAAATCATTTTCTTGCTTAAAATTAAAATTGTTCCCGGACTTCCTGTGCCCTCAGGAAAAAGCCCAGACGTGTCAGCTGCACTTGCCTCCCCTGTCCCTGAGTGTCTGAGCTGCGCAGGGCTGTGCAGGGGTGGTCTCCAGCCTCAGACCCGGTGAGGAAGGAAACGGGCGTTTCATTCCATCGGCTGTGCTTGCGGTTCATGTTGCTGCTGCTCTCCCCCGACCATCTGCGCACGGCGCCCATCCTGCGCTCAGGGCTCGCGGGGTCAGCGGTTCCCTCGTGGGCTCCTGGCTGCTCCACGGGGGCGGGCCCTGATGGCCACTGTGCCCCGGGCCTCGTAGAAGCTCCGTAAACACTTACTCATCTTCGGTGCCCTTCCCCTGCTGTTCACTGACGCCCGTATCTTGCGTTGTAGTTTGGGGCTGAGTTCCGAAGGTTCTCCTTAGACCGCCAGAAGCCTGGGAAGTTTGAGGATTTCTACCAGCTGGTGGTGCACACCCACCACATCGCCAACACCGAGGTGACCATCGGCTACGCGGATGTGCACGGCGACCTGCTGCCCATCAACAACGATGACAACTTCTGCAAGGCGGTGTCGAGCGCGAACCCCCTGCTCAGGGTCTTCATCCAGAAACGAGGTACGGCCTTTTATAACAAATCAGCATCTCAGAGATGCACACGGCCCTCGGTTTGTCCGTCCTTATAGGACCTGAGGTTTTGTTTTCTCGCAAGTGGTAAGAGACGAGAGGAATTAACGTTTGTTTGGTCAACATTACTTTAATAGAAAGGCTTAAAAAATATCTAAACTGTATTTTCTACCTCAGTGTTGACTTCTGATTTTTAAATACTGAGGGAAAAAAGGTAATATTGATACTTTCAGTATTTCAACTGGAAGCCAGTTAATTCGGTAACGAAAAGGCCTTAAGTCAGCTGGGACCGGTTTGGCTCAGCGGTTAGAGCGTCGGCCTGCGGACTGAAGGGTCCTGGGTTCGATTCCGGTCAAGGGCATGTACCCTGGTTGCGGGCACAACCCCAGTTAGGGGGTGTGCAGGAGGCAGCTGATGGATGATTCTCTCTCACCGATGTTTCTAACTCTCTATCCCTCTCTCTTCCTCTCTGTGAAAAATCAATAAAATATATTAAAAATGAAAAAGAAAAATAAAAAAAGAAAAAGAAAAGGCCTTAGTCAGAAACCCAAGAATCAAACTCAGGGTTGCCAGTATGGTTTCCACTGTGTTTTTTGGGATTGGAAAAAGATGTTAGTTTTAAATTGTTGCTTTGGTTAACTTGAGCTCTGTAGACCTCGTTTTGCTGTGACAACATCAGAGCCTCACTTTTTTGTTGTTTTTGTTTTCTCTTTGCTGAGTTTGGGAGAAGGTTCACATTTCAAACTTACAAACCTTTGAACAACATGGGGGTTGGGGGTGCCAACCAGCTTGCACTCAAAATTCCACCATGACTTCCGACTCCACGGAGTGCTGTTGTCCCTGGGCACTTCCAGGGGATCCGGGGGCGCTCCAGTCCTCTCTCTAGGACCGCCTGGGTCAGTGAACACGGTCAGCCCCCTGCATGCTCGCACTCCTAGCCGCAGGTCAGAAACAGAGCAGGTGTTTATTGAATTCCGTCCACGTGCAAGTGGACCCACACAGATTGTTCAAGGGTCAACGGTACTGACGGGAAGAACCTCCTGAGGTGACACTTGGTTTTCAGGAAATGGGAAAATGGCGTGTTGTGGTTGACTTGGCCGTGCCTGCGCCCCTTCTCGGAGGGCACCTTCTGAGCACTGGGGGCCCCTAGAGGACAGAGTGGCCTCAGGAAGTCCTGCAGCCCATGTGCGGGCTACGGTGACTTGGATCTGAGCAGGAGGGGACGGGTCCCGGTCTCGGGATGGGGGCAGAGCCTAAGCACCCACTGAAAGTAGCAGCCGCAGCCACGATGCTGGGGAGGCCCTTGGGGACGCGGGGCCCGGGGCTCGGGGTGGCAGGTTGCCCGGAGGTGAGCACAGCACGCGCACAGCTCGGAGCATGCTGGCCGGCGGTCAGTGCCCCGTGAGCGAGCTGTCACGTCCTGTTTGTGGTGACGGGGAGGGGATGCTGTGGAGACGGAGCACCAGGAGACCGCTGACCTCACTCTGGACTTTTTTCTGGCACAAGATCAGAAAGCTCCGCCTCTGTTGTCCCAGACGTCAACACAGCTGCCACTTCCTCAGGGGGCCTGGGGGCGTGCCTGAGGTGCAGGACCCTCGGCTGCCTCTGCAGGCCCTGGCTGTGCGGTGGCTGCTGCCTCCTCCCTGTCCCTGCGCCCCCCACCACACATCATGTGGGCAGGTGTTCGCGCCCCCTCAGGAGGGCCTGGTCCCAGATGCTCTACCTAAGGCGCCCGCCCGCCCTCCCGCCCGCCCGCCCTCCCGCCCGCCCGCCTGCGCGCTCTGCTGTGGTTGCTCGCTGCTCTCAGGGCCGGCTGGTCCCACAGCTCTGCCCACACGGGCCGTGCTGTGGGCTCGCTGGTGTGGGAGGTGAGCAGTGGGTGTGAGACGCCACGGGGATGGCAGAGGACACGGGCTTTGTCATCTGTGGAAGGGGCCGTGTCTCTGGACCGCTGCGTGTGGGCTGGGCTTGGGGCAGGACGGAGGCTCTGCCTGCCCTTTTCTGGGCCGGTCCTCATGACCTTGGCACCTTCGCTCTTGACCTCCCGCCGCGGTGACACGGGATCAAGATGACACGGGTTCATCTCCGGGTCTGTGTGTGCAGGTGGGGTTGCATTCGCTTCCATGGCTTTGCTCTCTGCGGGGGCCGAGGTCTTGCATCCTGTCTTCATTATTTACTTTTCCTCCTTCCTGTGGCATCAGAGACACGGCCCGGAGATGAACGGGCTGGCTTTTGGTGCCGACCTCTCTTGTTCTCAGTGTGAGCCCGGCACCGACACCCCTGCCTCTCTCTGTGGTGTGGCACCGACACCCCTGCCTCTCTCTGTGGTGTGGCAGCAGGAGTTTGGAGCACCTCCAGCACCTGCTCCCTGGCTGTGACCAGTGAGCCCCGCTGTCCTCAGCCGAGGCACCCACCTCGGGGAGTTTCCCGGCTGACACAGGAAGACGTCCTGTGTTCACAGCAGTCAGTGTCCCTGCCCAGGATCGGCAGGATCTGCCCGTAGAAACCACAGACATGTTCATATCGTGTTAGTGGTGGCCAGATAGCTTGAATAGCATCGCTAGCTGGTCATTATTTTGCAACAATGGTACAGATTGTTAGTTAGTGTGATTGAGAAATCACATACAGTCAGCCCTCCACGCCTGTGGGTTCCACATCCATGGGTTCAGCCAACTACAGATCGGAAATATTTGGGGGGAAATGTTTTGTTTTTCGCTGGTGGGTTACACAGCGAGGCTCCTACCATGATTGTATCTATACTAAACGCGTGCTGACTTTCCCTGGTCATTCCCTGGACAATGCAGTGTAGCGATTATTTATACAGCATTTAAGTTGTGTGAGGTGTTATAAGCAATCTAGAGATGATTTAAAGTGTATGAGAGGATGTCCATAGGGAAAATGCAAACACTAAACCATTTTATATAAGGGACTTGAGCATCTGTGGATTTTTACATTGGGGTGTGTGTGTATGTGTGGGGAGATCCTGGACCAATTCCCTTATGGATATCATGTATTATACATAAATGCTTTAATATTTTGATAATTGTCTCCAAAGGGGTCATTTCCTCTGTAATCCCATGTATTTTACTGTACGCCTTTAAAACTGCTAACCCTAACCCTAACCCAGCATTATGGCTGAGGGTTCTGGGGCGCTGGTGTAAGGACCCTGTTGCAGCCGGTCAGCATGTGGGAGCTGGGACGACAGGCCGGGAGCCAGTCAGGGGACTTTTCCTGGGGACGCCGGGTGGTGTTTCTGCTCGAGGGGCAGGACCACCCCGTGGGCTTCACATCTACACGCTCTTCTGCGCTTACTCACCTTCTGCAGCCCTCGGTCCGGCCTGGGCCACTGTGACCGGCTGCGGGGTTTCCCCGGAGTAAGTAACAGATGTCACTGTGCCTTTCCCTTCATGCTTTGCCCATTTTAGTAGGAGAATAACGTCGTCATAGAGGCAGGATCGGGAGTCCCATCCGCATGTGTGGACGACAGACCCAGCCGGTGTCCGGGAAGCTCCGTCCCTCCGTGCCCTGCGGACGCCGGTCCTTCCCGGGAACCGGCCCCGCCAGAGGGAACGCGGGGCGAGACCAGCAGAGATACTCGGCGTGTCTCCTTCTAATTTTAGCAGAGTAAACAGGAAGTGCAAATACCCATCAAATAATTACTTCAGCCACCCTCGTGCCCTGTACGCTTGTTATTTAAGAGATGGGCCTCTTTACCTCTCGGACCCCAGCCCAGGAGGAGAGGTGGAACCCTAATGGAATCTCAGTTGATCTCCGACCCTGGGGTACCCCTGCCCGGGCATCGAGAGGAAGTTGGCGAAATCTTCGTTCTACTACAGGACTTTCGGAACAATTAGAGCACTCTGAACTGTTTACTTTCAAGCCAGCCTAAATATAGCACTCTTGCATGTATCTGTTAACTGTTCTCTGGCAATTCTTTGGGTTTCTCGAAGGAGGAAGGCACATGTATAAACTTTTTGGCTAATCCGAAGTGGCATGGTTGGGAGCTGGGGCGAGGGGGCGGGGTGTGTTTGCTGGTGATTCCACTTAAGCGAGCTGCCAGAAAAAGGGATGAAGGCGTGTCCTTCCAAGTCAAACGTATGGAAGGATTGAGAGTTTGGTTTAGACGTTGGTAGAACCTTGTTACCAGGCAAATGAAATCCTGGTGATGGTGGCTTTCCTTGGATCCTGTATGAGGAGCAGCTGGAGATGAGTTTGGTTTTAGGTTGGGGGCTCCCTGTGCAGCAGGAATCGGAGCTGCCACCCCTGACTTTCTGTGTCCCCACCCCGTCTGATTCTTCCTCGGACGCGGCCCAGGCTGTCGAGGCTCTTTGAGTTGTGGGGAAAGGGGTAGGTTTGCTGGATTGGGCTCCTCATGTCCCTGCTCCCTGGAATCTGGAGCTTTTTCATGAGACACGTCTGCTTCTTTAATTGCCACCGTGTCCTGGAAGTTGGCGTATTTGGAGAATTTTTTTTTAATTGAAAAAAGGGCAAAACCTCTCCCACTGCCTCCCGTGGGAACATGCAGAAAACAAAATGCCTGACCCGGCATCCCCTCCCCCCAAGGAGTGGGAGTGATGGGGAGAGAATGTGCTGATGCAGCTCGTGAAAAGGAAAACAAAGGCCAGCCGCCCACTGTCCACAGAATCCCGGCCTTGTCCGGAGCGCCGGCCTGCAGGCTGTGCCCAGGGCAGACCACCTGAGTCTGGGCTCCGGCCAGAGCTTACACAATGGAATCGGATCCTACTTTTTATTTTTGTTTTCTAGTCATAACGTGCTTTTACATATTCAAGCCGGTAGTGTAATTTATAACTTGGATTCATGCATTTAAAAAACTTAACATCATAAATAACCATGCCTTATGTCATTAAGTTATTTGTAAAACTGTTTGTTTTTAGAACTCTCTTCTGTTTATAACACCTTCATAAGAGAAAATTCAAACAGCATGGAAACAGCACTGCCCTGAGGTGCTCACCGTGTCCATTGTGGTGAGA